CTTGTCTTGTCATATCAACAGACATTGTCATCGATTAACCCGAGCCCTGATGGGGGGGGCATTTTGGCCCCCCCCCTGTGGTTTTTCTTAAATAGCAAGAAAACGGCGGCGCGCAGCGCCGCCAAATTTTGGGTACCTTACCGGGCATCAATTTGACACCTTCACACAAAATTTCAAGTCACAGGTCACCTCAGGTCAGGAGTTATTGAGGTCAAACTGAGGTCATGTTCGAGCAAAAATGAGCAAAAAACATGACATCTTGAAACGCTCACCAATTCTACACTTAACAAGCAATTTTAAAGTTCTTTATGTGGTTGTGTAGAAAAAAGACGGCGCTACAAAACTGCTATCTCGGATTTTCGAAATTTTGGGATTTTGACCCCCAAAAATCAAAAAATTGATTTTTTTTAGAAAAGTCAAAAAAATTCCAATTTTTTTCGAATTTCGAAAAAACCGGAATATTTGTGATAGTCCCTACGCTCTTCAATATGCATACCAAATTTTAGATCGATACCTCTTTTTGGCCAAGTTATAGCAAAAAAACTGTTAAAAATTGATGACGTCAAATTTTGAACTCAATTTTTAGCAATTCTAGACCTCGTAGCGCAAAACGGAGACCACCATTGAACTCCCCGTGACGAGCTGCATCGAATCGATACCCATTTTATGCAAAAATATCAACTTTGAAAGTTGACCTAACAGGGTTGTGCTTGACTCATGAGTCGAGTCAGAGATTTGACTCAACTCTGACTCAGATGAGTCAGGTTTGAGTCGAGTCGGATAAAATGTTGAGCTGTTGAGTTGAGTCAGAGTTGAGTCAGACAAAAATATTAAGGTGTTGAGTTGAGTCAGAGTTGAGTCAGTAAAATAACTTTTGACATTGAGTTGAGTCAAAAACATTTAGGAACATGAGTCAGCTGACTCATCTTTCTAGAAACAATATATAGGTAAGCTTTTCGTTCTCCCCCCGCTTAACAACTTAGGCCTGGCCCTGCTGCCAGATTTTTTTCACCCCCTCCCCCGCTCAACAACTTTTTTATCTGAGTCAATTTTGAGTCAACACACTTGACTCAACAAAAAATTTGAGTCAAGTTTGAGTCAACTCATATTTTCATTGAGCCGCTTGAGTCATGAGTCGAGTCAAGGGAAAAAATCAGCTCCTTGTTTGAGTCAGAGTTGAGTCAGGGCTTTCTGAAGTTGAATGATGAGTCGAGTCGGCAAAATTTTTTGAGTCGAGCACAACCCTGTGACCTAATTTGACCTGACCTTGACCTGACCTTGACCTGACCTTGACCAAAACGTGACCTAAGCTGGCCCTAAAGTCTGTCTGACCCACATCATCGCATTTGTCATGTAAAATGGACCATAAAACATGTATCACACGACACTTTCATATTGTGACCCCCCCAGTGACCTGACCTCTGTGACCTGACCTGGTATCAGTGACCTCAAATAGCAAAATATGTGTTTGAAGAACATTTCTCCACCGATGATTTTCAATGAAATGCATTTTACTCGATTTTACAACGCATTTCTTGAAATGCCTGTAAACGGTGAAAATTCGACCTTTGACCTGACCTGTGACGTCATCGGTTTGACCGAGGTCAATGAAATTGGGTCACAAGGTAGTTCCCCGTTGGGGCTATCCAACACCGTTTACCGCTTGTCGCTATGTTGCGTGGTTCTCGAGATCTGAGGGGGGGGGGCAAAATGGCCCCCCCCCCCATCAGACCGCGTTGCTCGGCAGACCCCATCTGGGCGCGGGTTAACCCACGAGAGTCTGAAATAAATAAACCGTGAAATAAATTCATTACCTATTTGAAGATATGTGTCATCAAAGAGATTAGGTACAGATTTGCTTAGAATCAGGTGCATTCACCAGATAGTCCGTCGTGAAAACGGCTATTGCTTTTCATTTTAACATTGACTGGTGCTAAATGAATCATTCAATTGGCATGCTATGTTCGCCGTCTCGGGTCTCCGGCTCGTTCGTCGATCGCTCACAAAAAGTGTAATATATCACTAGCAATGTTGGAAATAAGGCCCTTTGCTGGTCCCAGTCGGGTCCAAACGATTTTGTTTTCCTTTACAAATGTATACTCCGGCACCTGAAATCTTTGAAATTTCCAGCCTGTGTGATAAAAACTGCTATTATTTCGCCTAAAACATGCAGTTACAGCATTGATACTTGAAAGAATACGTTTTATCAACTGTCACAGTTAGTAGACCAAGCATATGATTTTCCGGTTAAGTGTTCCATGTAAAAGCTGGCCGGTTCTCCGGACAGATTTTACTCTCCAGGACCAGGTCCAAAATTCACAATTTCAATATCGATCACCAGACGTATCTGTATCTGGTCCTCAGGTGGCACCAGAGGACACGTAAATATCGTACATGCCAGGTTCATGGGTGAAATACCTACTAAAGTAAATGTTCAGCATACATTTCAGCGCTATTTATTCACGCATTTATATAAGTGCATAGAAGCCTGTAACGGAAGAAGTAACCCACTGAGCGCTTACTGATTTTTGTTTATGTTTTGCGCCTGTTATTGGCTCTGATTTGATGAGACGCCGGTCGCCCGGCGGCGCGGGGCAGGCAGGTCGGGCAACTTTGACGGATTACGGGCCGTAAAGGTGGCGGGACGGATCGGTCGGAGCACAGGGGAGGGGTGTAACGGAGGAGCGGCGGCGGCCGGTCATCTCGACATTAACCGTATGTTCAACGTCCATCAGGTGATTGAGAGGAGAGCGACGAATCCAAACTGGCGAGGCACATCCTCCCTCACCCGTCCATCGTCCTCTGCCCACACCTGTCTCTCATCTCCCACACATTTCATCCCTCCTCCGCCTACATTCGTCCCTCCTCTGCCCTCACATTTCCCTTCTCTGTCCGCATCTGTCCCTCATCTCCCACATGCATCTGACCTCTGGCCCTCTGCCTATACAGCCGTCCCTCCCTTCCCACACAACACAATCCCTTCTCATTCCTAATTTGACTGATCTGACACAAATGAAGTAGTGATACACGTTATGAAGTTGGTATTAGCAAAATGACTCGGTAAAGTGTTTATTTTATTTTTATAATGATAATTATGTGAAGTTTCAATAGTTGGACGAGGTCATTGGGGGAGGTTTTCGTGACAGCTGATTATCTGTGAATGAATAACTTACTGAAATAGCTGAATGAGAGGGCGTGTCGGAGCATCCGAAAAAAGCAGAAATTCTTACCTATTAGGTACCGCACTATTAATTTTGTTATATTTAAATTAACTAAATAATTTTGTAATTTTGATAGCCGTCCGTCACGTCGTGCTACGATGGCTAAACAGCTTAGCTTGAACGCCGGGAAACCGCAGCACATTGCGTCCATCGACATGGCTCCGGTGTGCTCCCCCCTGACCCACAGTCACCCCGGCCAGACCCCGCCGCGCCGCACCGGTAACCGCTGGCCGCCGACCAGCCTGCAGTATTCAGGTGTCCCCGGCGCCACGCCAGATCCAGAGATATTTCCTCATCAGCTGATACGTTGTCCAGGTGGTCGCCGCGCCGCACCGATCTAAATGTCGCGTGCGCCAGCGCGGCGGCGAATTACGGCGCCGTTGCGACGTGCGGCGGCGCGCTGGCCGTGCGGCCCGACAGATGGCGGTCGCCCGCTCGTGCCTCGCTGTCCGTCGGGGCCGGCAGCGACGCGACCTGATGGGACCGAGCCTAGGCACGTCTAACAGGTACTGGTGACTTTTCGTGACTGCAAAATCAAGGTTGGACGAAAATGTGACTGATGAAAATTTTAAATTGCTCGTATTATACAGGTCAACCGTTTAAACATGCCTAACGCGGACATGATTTTGTGGAAAGTTATCATTCAAAATAAAATGGTTATGATTCTGATAAAGTTTCGACAAAGTTTCTCACTCATCCATCTGTTTGTGTTTTTCTTTGCTTCAAAGTTTCGCTGTCGTGGCGAAGCGAGGCACTCAGACGTGCTTTAGACTGGCAATGTGTTCGAGAGAAAAAAAAAACTTAAATTCGGCATGCCTGACCTTTGTTTCCAACCGGTACTTAGAGACAAATTGCTCGTTCAGGAGAGTCAAGGTGACCGATCAATGACCTCATATTTGAACCTCCAAGGTTGCTTAATTAGCGCCAGAAATGAGCTTATACTATCTCAAGCTCTGTCAAAACGTGATTTTTCACCTTTCTTTTGGGTCCGTTGCCTAGCTCCTGCGTTTTGGACCTGACTGCTTTTGGTTTTGACCTCGTGTTGACCTGATGTGAATACCCGAGTTGATCTTTTGTAAATGAAAAAACAAGTTTTTTTCTGATCACAGGGGTCACCGGTGGACCTGAGACACCACAATTGGATAGGGTTCGCTGTGCCTCACGCGTCCGAGAACATACCTAACTAATGGAGTTTGACATCCTTGCCGTCGTCTTTTGCCACTCAGATCACAACTTGGCTCTGAAGCCAAGGAAGGTTTTCAACCTCCTCTCCCCGAAGCTCGAAAATAACTCGAAACACTCTTGGCTCGAAAATAGCACTTGACAATGATGGTGTGTAAGATATTGCGCGTGGACAAGCATTCGCGCGTGTTTCGTGATATCGGAGATTGGGAGCTCTGCACTGGGATCACTGTATAATTAAGAATGTGCTCGTTAAACCTTTACGATCCCTAAGGCCCGACAGGTCCATTTATCTAGATTTTCTGCGTGTCTTCGACGGTATGCTTAAAGCGCAGCTCTTAAGAAGCTTTCGGATCGCCGAGTGCAGATCAATGAGGTAAAATCTTGGAAAGGATTTTCGGTTCACGTTATTTTCAAAGACATCATGCATTTCGAAGATGTTTGGTTGTCGCTTTCCTTACAAGGAGCGTCCCGCAGACTAACTATCTGCATTCACCGAGTAACTATCTGCCATCAGCGGTGTTGGAACTATTTCTGTTATTGTCCTGTACTGTATTGTATTGTAAAGTTGATTATGTACATATAAACAAAGATAAATTATACTTTTTACATTTCTATTTATTAGACACACACAGGGTTCTCTGTACCTACATGGAGAAGTCTAACACCATAATTGATGCTAGTAACTTCGCTAGTATCACATTTGTGTCCAAAACAAACATTCATCGACTAAATACAAATCATGCATACTGAAAATCATACATCTAAAAGTAATGAGCACCACACATAGGTAAGCATTGCATTTTGATACAATTTTCTTGACTGGTTCCAGTAAACTGTAATAGGGCGATATAGCGTTAATTGGTGACTTCATCGTTCTGTGTTACTTGTCAGTTGTCACATAAATAGTAAGCGTTGTCATTCAAGTTTTTACAGCTTTCATGGAATGTATGTTCAAAGATATCTTATATTAGGCAAGCCTGTGTGTAATTTGTGTTACCTTCAAGACCTACTTCCATGCGCACTTACAACCTTGATATAGGCAAGATGGCTGGTTTGTGTTTCGGTATAAAGTGACAGAGTGAAGCTCGCTCCCGTGGATTAGAGCATGAAACACATCGTCACCAGTCTGACTTTACCGTGTCTCAAACAACATCTCATGTGGTAAAAATGGTGTCACAATATCGAATCTATTGGATCTTCTAAGATAACAAATTAAATTGAACACCATGATTTGGTGTAACATATACCTACTCGAGCTGTCTTTTGATACACATACCATGAGGCGTATGTACAATGCATATAGTTACATGGGCACAACGCCGAATTCGATTTCTAGAAATCCAAATGGCGACCTACCAGACAATCACCTGAATCAAGGCCTGGTCAACTTCACAACTCTATTATTCTTTGATCGACGGACCTGCCTCCTTGTCAGTTTCCAGGCCAGTCCCCTCCACTTCACTGCCGTCCGCCTTTGGCTCGGAGGCCGCAACGGCCGGGCCACCCAGGCTCACAGCTGGCTTCTTCGGCTCAAACATGATTTTCTCGAGGTTGATGAACGGAACCTCAAATGTTAATGAGAGAAGCATGGCTGCAGCGAAAGTGACAATAACGTGGGCAAGGAGGCGGTACGTATAACGGTACGAGTCGAGGTAAACAGTGCTCTTCACAGACCCCTCCACAAGCAGAAGGACGTTGATGTGGATCAGGTATCCGGCGTACGTGAGCCGGCTGAGCGGAATGAAGCCCGGGTAGGAGAGGAACGTGTTGATGGGCCCGCCGTAGCCGGTGACGCAGGCAAAGATGACCCAGCCGACTGCCACGCCCCACGCGGTGCGGTTGAGTCCTCCATAGGACACGGCCACAGCTTTGCTGAACTGCTGCCAGGGCATCTGATAACCAGTCATGCCGAATATCACCGAGATACCGATGGCGAAGGCTGCGACCCAGCCGGACAGCCAGAGCCACGGCTTCAGGGTGATCTGGCGGCCGCGCAGCCTGTGGAGGAGGTAGCCGAGACCGATCCCAGTCAGCCAGACCGTGCAGCGCATCCAAGTATAGGCGTATTGATCCCCCAGCTCTTCAGCCGCTACGGGATCTGGAACGTTCAGCATGAGGCCGGTGGGCGGAAGGTTCTTTACGCTCCATATCGATATGCGAAGAGCTAGGAAGACGACAGTGAGGAGCCCGAGCCAAAGAGCCCCCCACAGAGGCTTCCACACAAGAGGAAGCAGAACTACTGGAGAAAACAAAAACATTTGCATATCTGTGGCCAAGTACCAGGTCTGCGCAAGGCATTCATCCTTAATAGGAGTGTAATTCTGGATGTAAAGCAGGTTACGCCACCAGTCAGTCTGACAGAGGTCTTGTTGAAGCTCCGCGGTTCTAGCCCAAAGAGGACCGTTTCCAAAATATACAAATATGGTAGCAGTAACTGCAATCATGATGGCTAATGGCGGTGTCAGGCGTAAGTATCGATGCAGGTAAAACATGAATATGTTAAACTTTCTTCTTTTCTCGTAGGTTCCACAGAAGCTGTAAGCCAGCACAACTCCAGACAGAAGGTAGAATGTGTCCACACTTGGTGACGCATTAACGACTACCTGAAACGCAACCGTTCTGATCCAGTCTAGCGCGACGGAGATGTTCTGATCATAACTAAGCAACTGCAGTGTGGCATGTCCCATGAGCACCCAAGTCATGGAAAAGAACCGAATGCCGTGGATACACCTCAGCGTCCCTTTACTTGTCGACGTATCCAACAGCTTTTTGGTGTTGGTGTAAAGGGAAAATGCGACCAGGACTCTTTGCCAGGTGGCCAGGGCGGGCGGCTTTCTCTGTTGCATCGTGGCTGGCTTGGGCTCGACGACATGGAGCATCTGTGGCAGCCGCGAGTTGGGACTGTCCACGACGGACGTCATCCTGAGCTTGTCGGCCTGCCGCTCGGCCCGGTATCCGAGCCACACGTCCAGCGCCGTGCCGACCAGCAGCAGGACGCCGACCAGCGCCAGCAGCGTGATGACCACGATGTCGGCCGGCTGCAGGTCCACCGTCTGGTCGGCCACCTCGGACGTGAAGGCCACCACCGTGACGTTGTCCCCCAGCATGCTCTGGAGACCCGTCTGCACATCGGCGCTGGAGCAGCTGGACGGCACACACAGGCCGATCACCCCGGTAGGTATTCCCAGGGTGGGGAGGATGAAGATGGTACCAAGGCCGTCATCCTTTTCCTGCCGCCATCTGCCGACCTCCTCGTCACCAACCGACGACACAGGGGCCGGTGCCACCGTCACTGGCACATACCGACCGGTGAACTGGAGCTCCTGGTCGTCCAGATCTGGGTACGTGTCGTTGTCCAGGCTCGCCTTCACCAGAAAACACTCGTCTCTGCTGCCGAACACGTTCAGGTTACCCACCAAAATGCCGTCTGGGAGCTTGCCGCTGGCATCAAACACTGCGAAAAGAAATTTCTTTCAGAATGCACATCACACAGCTGTTCGAGTGTTCGAGATGACACGTAAGCTAGCTGGATAGCCAATGCTTATTCGCACATAGGCGGCTGTGGGCACATTGTCACACATACAGACGAAGGAATTGAGCCAGTCTAATTAGAACGCACGGTGAGAGGTGTGGCGGAACGGACCCGTCCCACCCCTCACCGTCCGTACGAACCCGTCCCCACCCCTCACCGTACGTACGGACCCGTCCCCACCCCTCACCGTCCGTACGAACCCGTCCCACCCCTCACCGTCCGTACGGACCCGTCCCACCCCTCACCGTCCGTACGGACCCTTCCCACCCATCACCGTATGCATGGACTCTTTCCAAACCTCACCGTCCGTACTACCAAACTGGGAGTTTGATAGTATAATAGGAGCTTATGATGACCCCCACACCCCTCACCGTGGTAGTGCTAAGCTATCAAAACTACACCGAAGGGAATTCGTGCAAAAATGTGGTGGGCGTTAACCGTAGAAGTGGTAAGCTACATTCCTACGTCCTCAACACCCAAGAACCATTCTCAAAACTATGTAATTTGTCTTTTGAATGCTCAATTTGTTTGAATCTTTAGTTCGGAACTTAAAATAAGTTAAGAAATTAAACTTGAGCAAACATCACCAACCAGAATGCTTGATGCAGAAGCAGAATGCAGAATGCCAGAATGCTTGATAGTAATATTTCATGGAGAGGCATTAAAATAATGAAGAACTACTTTTGTTGCGAATAACATTACCAATAAAATGGAACAAACAATAAACACATAAATTGATGTCTAAACAATGATATGTAAAAACATCTAGACTACTGGAAACACAACCTAAAGACACCGCAACCAGACAACAATATTTGCGTATGTCTTGGAAGCAGCACACTACATGTATGTAAGAAATACTTACTGAGTTGCGGCCACCCGGTCGGCGCTCCGGTCGAGAACTGCTCCCAGTAGATCTGTGTGTGTCTCTGACAGAGAGCACTGTCCGAGTACAGCGTCGGCGCCGCCATCCGAGAGACGAAGCCCTTGCCGCCGGAGGGCAGCGTCCTCTCCTCCAGCAGGTCGGTCAGCACGTCCAGGGTGGCATCCAGGTCGGCGAGGGTCAGCTCCTGCAGGCGCGGCCGCGGCACCAGGTTGAACAGGCGTCCGTCGAGGGCGGCGTCACCGCTGCCGGCCGCCGCCGTCACCGCCACCAAGACGGCCGCCACCGTCATCAGCGGCGGCAGCAGCGGGGCGAGTCGGGTCATGTCCGGGGCTGGTCGGGGGCGACGAGACGGTCCGCGGGCTGCTGCGGCCGAGACCGACTGGCCGGGTCGGTGGAGCGGCAGGCGGCTATAGCTGACGACTTATCGGCTTATCGCGACCTCACGTCATCAATGTTATCCGTTCTATGAAGCGTCTGATAAGGAAAGATGTTGGCTCTATGATTGGCTCAATGTTTAAAAAAGGAATAAAAAAGAAAAAGGAAAAGATATAAATATACCTAGGTATGTAGCATGCTGAGAAGAAAATGTCTGGGTTCCGTTGACATTTTCACCATATACAATAGGTATGCATTGTATTTATGTCCTATACATTATACATAAGATATCTTATGGCTTTATAATCAATGACCCTCAGTGTTCTCTAGTCACAATGAATTTGAAAAGAGGAATGCCAGGAAACTTGGTAACACCTCAACCCGCTACGGGCCGGGGGAGGGGGTGTTTGAACCTATACTCTGGTTTGAACACCCCTTGCAGTTTTTGGCACATCTGTACAGGCATGCACCTTTTTAGCACATGTAAAAATTTCAGACCCAGGTCTCTCAAGTTAAGGTCACCAGGTCACGTCAAGTGACCTCACCTCAGAAAAAAAAACAAAATCCTCGTCATAGCTACACCGACTGAACGATCGCCTTGAAACTTTCAGCGATTGATGAGAGTAACAGTACGTACAAAATGTATGTCTCGGAATGTTGATATCGGTGACCTAAGGCCAGATCAATTTTGAGACCTCTCGATTTTAAGTCAATGGGAGGAAATTGAAAGGCGCCTCTTTTTGACGAACGTCATTCTTAACAGTCTCAAACATCGGGTTATACGTAAACCTGACAAGGTGAACCGAAAATGGCACCCGTGACCTCTCCCTATATCCCTTAGGTCATATCAGGTCATGAAAGGTCCCTAGCAATTTGACAATAACTTCTGATAGAGACATGCTAGAGCGTTGAAAACACGTCAGATGTGTTCAGCTCGACGATGCGGATCGACGGATATGCAGCATGACATTTTCTGGTCATGTCATGACCTTGATCTGAGGTCAAATCTTTAAAATGACCTTTCAAGGTCAAATTGTAGTTCTCCGACCTATCCGACGCGTCTTGACAAGAGGAACACGATGCTGGCAAAAATGTCATTTTCTTGAGTCGAAAGTTATTTCAGAAAGGCGTTTTTTATGAAAACGGCTATTTTTTGTCTTTGCCCTTTGGAGGATAAACCGTTGACCTAAGGTCAAATTTGAGGACATTTGGGCGAAAGAGCGTTATAAAAGCTATCGAATACGATTTACTGCGGCGCTGTGTTCCCGAGTTACAAGGGGCGCCGCCTCGCGAGATGGCAGATTGAGACGCGAGGTGGCGCGGGCGGGGGCCAGCGCGGCGGCCCGTCTGGGGCGCCGGGGAAGCTTACGGCCTCCCCTGGACGGACAGCTCTCCCCGGGGCCGGGGCGGTAACAGCCGTGTACCGCCCCGGCTTGGTCAGGCGAGCAGAACCGGCACGGTGCCCTCAGAGGTGTTAAGGCAGCAGGGTGTGCCCGTGTGGTGTGATGATAGTGAGGTGCGTAAGAATGTGCTGAGGTCAATGTAATGATCTCTGGCGACCTGACCTTGGACCTGACATAAAAGATAACCGAGTGTTATCTTCATTATTTTCGACTCTCTTGCGAATGCCGCCTACCACGTGTCGCTACGTGGCCTAGGGGCTGAGTTAGACGGGGGGAGTTCAGACCCCCGGCCCGGCGCGGTTGGTGCCGAGCGCTAACAAAGCTGTCAGTGTAAGAGGTAACAGAAAAAGAGCGCCCGCTTAAGGGAAAAATGCCGATCCTGAACTATGGCATACAACAAATAGTTTTACAGTGATGCCCTGTGTACTCTACCGCATGGCTAATGGGAAGAAGGGCGAGTCAGAACACTTCGTGGTAGTTACCAATCCACGGGCGAGACAGTAGCCATGCTGTGAAATAGATAGCGACCTTTTATGTCGCCTATTATGGGCATTGATAGAATACCGATAAGGTAACAACATGTTCTCAGCTCCGTCAAACTGTTCGTCTCGATTTGATGCTGATTCATGTAATGTCCAATTATGGCTTTGCTACACAGGGTCAGAAGAAAACTGGTGACGCAGTGTCGCGATAAGCCGATAAGTCATAAGCTACAGCCGCCTGCCGCTCCACCGACCCGGCCAGTCGGTCTCGGCCGCAGCAGCCCGCGGACCGTCTCGTCGCCCCCGACCAGCCCCGGACATGGCCCGACTCGCCCCGCTGCTGCCGCCGCTGATGACGGTGGCGGCCGTCTTGGTGGCGGCGACGGCGGCGGCCGGCAGCGGTGACGCCGCCCTCGACGGACGCCTGTTCAACCTGGTGCCGCGGCCGCGCCTGCAGGAGCTGACCCTCGCCGACCTGGATGCCACCCTGGACGTGCTGACCGACCTGCTGGAGGAGAGGACGCTGCCCTCCGGCGGCAAGGGCTTCGTCTCTCGGATGGCGGCGCCGACGCTTTACTCGGACAGTGCTCTCTGTCAGAGACACACACAGATCTACTGGGAGCAGTTCTCGACCGGAGCGCCGACCGGGTGGCCGCAGCTCAGTAAGTAGTGGCATGATGTGTAACGTTAAAATGAAATTAAATGAATTTAAAAAAAAAAGTTTCAGATGTTACCAGTTCTTGTAATGGTAGACGGAAGCAGAATTCATGACGGTAAACACCTTCCCACACATACAATTTGTCTTTACGTTCACTTTACTCATCTTTACATATCGTAGCTCCAATCACATGTACCAAAAACGGTTAGGATCCGCTTCCGAAGATCCATTTGCCAAAGAAGCTGGCCTCAATTGAAAACGCAATTAGATTATTTTCTGTTCCTAACATTCACAACGATTTTCATGAGCATTCTTATATGAGCATCGCGGTGACAGAACACATGAAGTATGCGTTATCTTATTTTCGTTATCTTGCATTAAACCAACATATTACCGATGAGCATGAACATCATTATGACTTCTGTTCCTGGGTTTAGAAAGCTTTGGAACAGCGACAGTCATATGATTTTAAAAATATTTTGTCTTATTTCCACAGTGTTTGATGCTAGCGGCAAGCTCCCAGACGGCATTCTGGTGGGTAACCTGAACGTGTTCGGCAGCAGAGACGAGTGTTTTCTGGTGAAGGCGAGCCTGGACAACGACACGTACCCAGATCTGGACGACCAGGAGCTCCAGTTTACCGGTCGGTATGTGCCAGTGACGGTGGCACCGGCCCCTGTGTCGTCGGTTGGTGACGAGGAGGTCGGAGGATGGCGGCAGGAAGGGGATGACGGTGTCGGTGCCATCTTCATCCTTCCAACATTGGGAATTCCTACCGGCACTGTCGGACTGTGTGTGCCGTCCAGCTGCTCCAGCGCCGATGTGCAGACGGGTCTCCAGAGCATGCTGGGGGACAACTTCACGGTGACGGCCTTCACGTCCGAGGTGGCCGGCCAGACGGTGGACCTGCAGCCGGCCGACATCGTGGTCATCACGCTGCTGGCGCTGGTCGGCGTCCTGCTGCTGGTCGGCACGGCGCTGGACGTGTGGCTCGGATACCGGGCCGAGCGGCAGGCCGACAAGCTCAGGATGACGTCCGTCGTGGACAGTCCCAACTCGCGGCTGCCACAGATGCTCCATGTCGTCGAGCCCAAGCCAGCCACGATGCAACAGAGAAAGCCGCCCGCCCTGGCCACCTGGCAAAGAGTCCTGGTCGCATTTTCCCTTTACACCAACACCAAAAAGCTGCTGGATACGTCTACAAGTAAAGGGACGCTGAGGTGTATCCATGGCATTCGCTTCTTTTCTATGACGTGGGTGCTTCTGGGGCATGCTGCGTCACAAATTACTTCGTATGACCAAAACTTCTTCGTCGCATTGGATTGGTTCAAAACAGTTGCGTTTCAAGTAATTGATAACGCGACGCTAAGTGTGGATACATTCTACTTGTTATCAGGGGTCGTGCTAGCTTACAGTTTTTGTGGAGCCTACGAAAAAAGAAAGTTTAACGTTTTCATGTTTTACCTTCACCGATATTTGCGTCTGACACCACCGATGGCAATCATGGTGGCTATTAATGCCACCATATTTGTGTACTTTGGAAGCGGTCCTCTTTGGCCTCGGATGGTGGAACTACAACAAGACATTTGTCAAAAAGACTGGTGGCGTAATCTGCTCTATATCCAGAACTTTACCCCGATCGAGGAAGAGTGCTTGGCTCAAACCTGGTACCTGGCCACAGACATGCAAATGTTCTTGGTTTCTCCAGTAATTTTGCTTCCTCTTGTGTGGAAGCCTCTGTGGGGGGCTCTTTGGCTCGGGTTTCTCACTATTGCCTTTCTTTCTTTGCGGATAGCTATATGGAGCACCAAAAACCTGCCTCCTACGCTTTTCTCATTTAATGTTCCTGATGTTGAGGCAGCCGAGGAAATGGTGACTCAGTATGCATATCCATGGATGCGCTGCACAGTCTGGCTGACTGGGATCGGTCTCGGCTACCTCCTCCACAGGCTGCGCGGCCGCCAGATCACCCTGAAGCCGTGGCTCTGGCTGTCCGGCTGGGTCGCAGCCTTCGCCATCGGTATCTCGGTGATATTCGGCATGATTGGATATCAAATGCCCTGGCAACAGTTCAGCAAAGCCGTGGCCGTGTCCTATGGAGGACTCAACCGCACCGCGTGGGGCGTGGCAGTCGGCTGGGTCATCTTTGCCTGTGTCACCGGCTACGGTGGGCCCATCAACACGTTCCTCTCTTACCCGGGCTTCATTCCGCTCAGCCGGCTCACATACGCCGGCTATCTTATCCACATCAACGTTTTAACCCTCGTAGACGGCTCTGTGAAGAGTACTGTCTACGTCGATTCGTATCGCTTCACCTACCATCTTCTTGCCCACGTTGTGGTCAGTTTCGCCGCAGCCATGCTCCTTTCGCTAACATTTGAGGTTCCTTTCATTAACCTCGAAAAAATCATGTTTGAGCCAAAAAAATCAACTGCGGGTCTGAGCGGCGCACCTCTACCACCTGCCGAGTCTGA